CACACACACACACACACACACACACACACACACACACACACACACACACACATATAACTCTAAATCCTATTAATGACGTACGTTTAATAATAAACTATGAGTTGTTACTTATCTCCCATTTCTCTAATATACCATGCATAAAGAAGTTGTAAATCACTGTTTTCTGTTTTTACATTAAGGTCCTCATTGCAAAGTCAAAACAGTCACGAAGTAACAAAATTAGCACAATATTTTTCTCAAATCAGTGGTCAATAGGTCCGAATGTTTGCGATTTATTCTTGACAATTGTCCTTTCTCTTTGTTGTTTTGTTTAGCAGCAGATTTGCTCTTTTATTTCCACCTAAACCTATTGTCCCAGATCCTACCTGGTCCCACCTTGTTTGTTTACCCACATAAACTATAGCCAGCTTAATGTAGGTCAGTCACGTGACTCACGCTTCCATGTGGTTTTCTGCAGATTCAGCTGAGGGCATTGTTTACATTGTGTGTGGACCCATGTTTCAGAATTCCGTATCAATACATCTGGAAAACGTACAGAAGGAACCTCCTTTCAAATTGCATCATTTCACATAGTTCAGGACAAGATTGTTTTTGTTTGATTTCATAGTTTGCAGTGAGTACTTTTATTTATTTATTTATTTATTTTTCACTCACACATGAAGTGTTGATATAAGCGGCTAAAATGTAGATTCTAATTTAAAATCAGGTTCTACACACTTTTCAAATATGATGAACAGAAACAGTTTTGTCTCACTGTTGCATGTTGCCATGGTCATGTATCATGCTGGTGTTGTCATGYGTGTGTGTCACTCAAAGGATTAAAACCAAGCTTTCCTGGGCTGCTAATTTGTGTCTGGTGTCCACGTGAGTCTCAGGTAGACACCCAGCTTAATCCAGCTGTCTGTYTGTGCTCTGCTCCTGCAAGAAGCTAGTTTCCACATAACTGCTGAGGATCACATGTGGAATAACAACACTAAAWAAAAGGCCAGGGTTCACATCAGGCTTAGGAAAGTATTGATTTAAGATGAAAATAAGTTCAGACTGATTTATTTTATTTGTTATATATCTTACCTTGCTGCGCTTTATTGTGTTACTGCAGTAATAGCATGAACCTGGTGACTGTTTATCTGCTCTCTCTCTCTCTCTCTCTCGCTCTCAGCTTCATGTTTGCAGCAGACGCACACCAAGAGTTGCTTTGTCTCACAAAAAAAAAACATGTCTTGGCCAGTTCACTTCTAAAGTCATTTTACTTTTAGCGTTTCTAGTCTCTGTCGTCATCATCCACTAACCTGCACGTGGCTGAGTGTATCAGACTTGCGTTATTGACTTTTCATCAGTGAGTTGTTTCTCTTCTCTGTACCGACTCACGGTATGACAAGTTGTTTTTTTTTTCCTGTGGTGCTTTTCCCAAGTATGATGACAAAAATAACATAAAACGCAAGACGGCTCCAAAGAACCGCCTCAGAGTCTTGGAGGAGAGCAGCTTTGGGTCAGCAGTAGCCACTCGCTCCGTTTTGGCTGGTGAACAGCTTGTAACGTCAGCCATCTTAGGTCGGACAACGCAGAGCGTGGTGCTCCGCCATCTTTCTCTCCCTCCCCTCTCTTCAGCCCAGCTTCAACGCGTGCACCAGCAGCAACCACAGCAACGCAGCCACTCACAGCCCACGCAGCCGTCCGCTTCCTGACCTGTGTGCAGCCCCACATGAACGCCCCGGATCCAAGGGAACGATGATGTAGGAACGCTGTAATTGAGGTTTCCTYATCATTGCCAGGGTGGTGAAAAACCGGGACAGCTGTGAACAGAAGTTTAGATGTGCACATGTGAGCTTTGTTTGTCAATCTTCAGGTGACTGAGTGATACAGTGGCGGTGATGGACGTTAGACGCTAATACGCTATAAATATACAAGAAATGACAAAAGAGGTGCAAACTCTTGGAGTTGGAGAGAGGTGTGTGTACAATATAAGTGCAAATTTATTTAGCTGCAGGTTGTTTTTTAAGGAGCCTCATGAACAAAATAGCATCGGCCAGATTTTCTGTTCTGTTTGTGCGTCTGTTCCCGTGTTTGATTGCACGACTGCAGCAACACCGTGTGACTCTGGGCCACTGGAGGCCAGAGAGTGCGCTCGTAACAGGGCAGTAAGRCAGATGTCTGGACAGAAACTGAACAGGAAGAGACACCATCGGCTCTGGCCAATGGCGCGCCTCGGAGACGGCGACCACACCTAACGGAGAAACATGAACGCTTCGTGGGAGAAGCTCTGAAACAGGAGCAGGGCAGGGACTCTCCAAATACCACTCTGAGGGGCGTGTGGAACAAACAAGCCCAGCTTGGGCCAAGGACTGGATGGCATAGGAGTTGTGTGTGTGTGTGTGTGTGTGTGTTTACACACATGCTTGCGCTTTAGAGAAGTGAGCTGGTATAAAAGAGAATTGGGGGGTGGTTGCCATGGGGACAGTAACACACCAGTGCTGCTGCCGACCTGTCTCCCTCGGCCAAACTTATTCRGAGAGGGAGGAGAAGAGGGAACAGTGGGAGGGAGGGAGAGGATGTTTTATAAGGGAGGGGGAAGAGCCAAGAAGGAGAGTGGAAAAAAGAGGAACGGGTAAAAATGGAGCAAACTAGGGCAGGCCTACCTGTGTTGTACACCTACAKTGTTTTCTTCTATCAGAAAAAAACGTTTGTTCCTCTAACAGATGTCCCTCTTATCGTCTGTAATCTGAGTGTGGAGATAAACTTCAGGCTTTCCTGAGSGTTTTGAGTGCAGCTCTTCGCCTGGACTCAGAGGAATACAGCTGAGGCCGAGACGAGAGTCAGGCCYTGAGATGAAAGGAGGTCAGCTGAGCCGAGCCACAGATGAGGCAGAGAGCATTTGGGTTTCAAACCAAGACGTCTAAAAGATCGTCTATCTTTTGTGTGTCCCTTCTGAGAGCTGTGACACACAGCACAAGCAGCAGCCGTACTACCTTGGTAAACAAGCTGCGCACACAGACATGCGGACACCCACCCCCGCACGTCACACATGCATCACGTACGCCCCTCCTGTCTACTCTGAATCTCAGGAAACCCAGACATGCAAATGCTGACACGCATAACGGACACAAACCCCATCACAGCCACACGGTCAGTCAGCATACACGTCGGAGTTATCAGACAATAACTCMCTCATGGCAGTGAGTCAGCAGGAGCTGCCTGAGCCTGGTGCTTCTGAGGCGCGAGCAGCTCGCTGTTAATAGCTCTGGTCGTGTTGTTTCGCCCGTCACCTGTGTGAGGCCTCTGGGACTTTTGTTTTTTTATTTTTGGGGTACGCTCATTGTGCTGGGGCTCATTTTAGTGCTGACTTCCTCTGMCTTGTGATTTCTGATTTGTAGTGTTCGCTGAGATTTGTCGGTCTGATTCATCCAAATTTTACTGACAGACATTGGCTTGTTTTAGCAGTGATTTTGCCACTAAAACACGTGTGTGTGTGTGTGTGTGTGTGTGTGTGTGTGTGTGTGTGTGTGTGGACAGTGAAACTGAACTTCAGGTTATGTCCATTTGCAGAACATTCCAGGCTTTGCAGTGAGGAGGGAGGGACGCTCCACGTGTGATTGCACTTTGGAGTAAGAACGGGGCTCGAGGTGCGGGGGTAGGCCGGTCGCAGGGGGTGCTGGGGGGAGTACCAAGGAGGAAAATTCCTCACAGAAACACCTCAGTTGCTTCCTCCACGATAGTTAACACCCCACCCTCACCCCGAAACAGCCTGCCCATCCCCCACCATCGGCTCCCATTCGCTTCCCTCTTCTCCTCTTGCCTGCCACCCACACCCAAGTGAACCACGTGACGAATGGCTGCGACTGCCCACCCATAAGCCTTTGTGTTGGTCATGTGACTGTTCTGCCTTGGCAGAGAGGTGCCCCTTGATGCAGAACTGAATGGCGGGGGGTGGGGGGGAGGTGGGAGAGGTGCACAGCGGCCCAAGCCGAGGGTAGTTTCACTCAGTGGGGTGGTGGGGGGGACAAGGGGCATCACGTTCCCTCACAGTAGCAAACTTCAATTCCCAGTTAACCCCTCACATGCAGATCAAAAGCTTTTTGTACTATTAAAAACAGTTAATTATTTCACCACAGATTCATTTGTGTGTCTGATTATTACCAGTTACACTTGCGTGCTTCCATTTACTGATTAATTTTTTAATTTTGTCAAACTGAAATAAAATTAGGTTGCTTTCGGCTTCTAAATGCACCAAACTGTTTGTACCTTCTGTCACACCYGGGTCCTGTGGGGGTTAACTGAGCTAATGTACCATGACCTTTTGAGAAGCAAACCAAGGATTTCTGTGCACGTTTTGTAGGTAACTAGAGAAACACAAAGTTTGCCATTTAAATATTCCTATTTCATTAGAGAAGAGTGGATTAAATGAACTGGGCTGCCTTACATGTAGACAGAAATATGAWGGTGCCACAACGGCCTTGTGTATGAAGGGATACTAGTCCCAGAGGAGTTTAACATGTTCTTGCAGTGCTCTGTAGGTCTGCCTACCAAAAAGGTGGATTTTGGTTGCATATGTTGCCAAATGGCCTTTGGCATGGTAATGGGCTGCACTTTTTTCATTAAACACCTTTCAGCTGGTGAAGCTTGGGGAACTTTTTGCCGCTCTGTGCATGAGGTGTCATGTCAGGGCAGAGAGTTGGAAGAGTAATTGCCCTAGAGCCGTCCTTCAATTCTGCATCCCTGCCTCTGTGTTCTGTGGGAAAGGAAGGAGGAGCAAAGCCCTCCGCAGGAAGCTTTCGCCATTTTGCGTGAAGACAAAGAGACTGGAGMTGCATTGAGCATTTGCAAAACATGGCTTTATATGCAGCGTGCTTCTGTCGACGCTGCGTACGACRCCGATGGGCGAAATGCGCGTCTTCCCAAGAAACATCTGCTGAACCTTCCACGTCCCTCACTGTTCAAAATACTCTCCGACTTAAGCGACATGATATTTGTAATGTGCATATTCATCTTGCAGTCTTTATAAAGGTGTGTAGGGGCTACAAAATCTGTGCATTGAGGAGAAAATACAGTGTGCTGCCTCTGTGGGGGTGTGTCTGAGAGAGAGGAAGTGAGACAGAGTTGTGTGGGGGAGGGGAGAAAGGGGGTAAGACAGGAGCGCTCCCAAAATGCCTGTAGTGAAGAAGCAGACTGAGCTGGTTTGAATGGCCTCCAAAAAGAGAGAGTCTTGAGTTTAAGGAGACAGGATTGAGAAGACTGTTTTTGTTTTTATTTTTATTTTTATTTCTAGCATGAAATATTAATGAACTGTTCTAAATTTGAGAGGACTTTTTTTTCGAAAGGTGATCATTCCTGTGTGGCAGATGTTTTTGTTGAAATCTCATATCTGTATCTGATTTTTAGCTAAGAAGAAACGAGCTTCTGCAGCTCTTAAAAACTTTTTTTCTGCATGATTTTTGTCCATCTTATTTATTTGTTACCTAAAATAGATGTCATAACTAAAGCTTAAGTTACAGGTTAATGGAGACTGACTGATCCTAAATGTGTTCTTCTTCTCTTTTTTAGGATTCTACTAAAACCTTGCTCAACGACTTGGACCAATGGATAAGCCCTGCCATCTTTGTTCCTCCATGCCTGTTTTATAATTGAGACAACCATCTTCCATTTCACAGTTTTTTCAGCCGTTTGACCAGTTCTCCCCACACTATGGCCAGCAAAAGAAAGTCGACTACGCCTTGCATGATCCCTAGTAAGACTATCCGCTCTGTTGAGGAGGTTGAGCAGGACTCTCCGGTTCCTGTCCGTCTGTCCAGGGTTTCTGGAAGTGACCGGCTCAGCCCTTTAGTCCCCATTGAGTCTTCTAAACCAGAAAGCGGTGCTGGCACTTACACTTGTAAGTCCTGCAACTTTGAAACCCGTGACCTCAACTTGTTTTTGGATCACGTCTACAGCGCRCACCCAGAGTTCAGGGCGGACCCGGGTTTTGTTTGCAGAAGCTGCGGCGTTTCAGCWCCCAAGTTCGAGGGGCTGGCCCTGCACAACGCCAGGGTTCACCCCAGCACGGTGAGCACCACTCTGCACCTGAGGAAGAGGGACAGGAGGGTGGTGGTGGAGCAGAATGTGGTGGCTGGGGCAGAGACGTGCAAGGACAGTGAGATTTCTATCAGCAAAACCCCCATCATGAGGATGCTGAAGGGCAAGTCGGAGCCTAAACGGATTGTGGTGTCCCACTCTGCCTCCGAGGAGCCATCTTCAGAGTCACATTCTGTCTCTGCGTTCAGAGAGTCTGAAAGAAAAGAAGCTGCTACAGTGACTGTCACACATGTTCCTACGATTGTCCACAATGGAACGACGAAGGCCACGATGCCCTCAGCAATACAGATTGTTAATGGTACAACAACGTTACCGATTCTAAAGACTCCCATCACACATGTGAGTATGGGCTTTTAGTGCCCCACRCATTTGTTTTCATTTGAAATGCATTTTGTACATGTTCATGCATTTCTTTTTTTTAGATTGTTACTCCAAACAAAAACCTTCATCACTCTTCACCAGTAACGGTCTCCTCAAATATGTCCTCAACTTCGTCAACCTACTCCTCCCAAAATCTACCCAAGGTAAATGTTTTTGTACAGTGTTGTATAAAGTACCTCAAAAGTGATACTTGAGTAAAAGTACAAGTGTCTTACCATATAATTACTTTGGTAAAAGTTAAAGTCTCCTCTAAGAATATTACTTGAGTAAAAGTCTTAAAGTATCTAATATATTTTGTACTTTAAGTATCAAAAGTAAATTTCAATTCTGACATAAAATGTACTTAAGTATTAAAAGTAAAAGTATGGAGTAACAACGAGTGGCTAGACTTCCCAAAATGACATTTATTGGGAGGTGAGACCCTCAAAAAACATTTTTCTAAAGGCCAAAATGGCTATATTATCATAGAAAAATGTTTATTTTAAAAACGTTAGGATGCACTAGCCACAGACATCTTGGAATTAGGCTACATACAGTATATTTGATGATATATATTTATACTTCTCATCCAACCACAATTAAATTCACTCTATCCAGGAGGAAATTTTTTTAACAAGCTGTAATGAAACAGGAGTAACGACTTTCTACTTCTCATCTTTTTAAAAAATGAAAGAAGTAGAAAGAACAGATAACTGTGTAAAAATGTAAGAAGTGGAAGTAAAAAGTAGGCTGAAAAATAATTACTCAAGTAAAGTACAGATACCAAAAAAAATCTACTTAAGTACAGTAAAGAAGTATTTGTACTTATTTACTTTACAACTCTGTTTTTGTCCACAACAGTCTCAATACATAAGTTTAAAAAAAAACAGTCAGCACATGTTTACATTTTTCTCTGCCAGGTGATGATTCCTTTGAGCAGCATCCCCACCTACAGCGCCTCCATGGACTCCTCTTCTTTCCTGAAGACCTCCTTCAGTAAGTTCCCGTACCCCACGAAGGCCGAGCTCTGCTACCTCACTGTGGTCACCAAATTCCCAGAAGAACAGATCAAGATCTGGTTCACGGCTCAGAGACTGAAGCAAGGCATCAGCTGGTCTCCTGAGGAGATCGAGGAGGCCAGGAGGAAGATGTTCAACACCATCATCCAGACGGCACCAGCTGGCTCGCAGAACCAGACACGGAGTCACCACGGCTCAGCCCAGCACACCATCACAGTCCTGCCGGCCTCCCTGGGGCCCACGGGGATCCCTCAGTTTCTGCAGGGATCACTTGTCAGCCAGGGAGGGGTAATCGTCACACAGCCCGTCATGGCCAACGGCATCCAGGTCAGCAGCGCTCCCGTGGCCCTGGCGGTGACGCCGAAGCCCCAGGCGGCGGCTCGACCCGCCATGCAGGCCCGGCCCGCTGCAGCGCTGGCGGCGGATAAAGGCACTGGTGTGGTGGTGGGCACGATGGGCAGCAGCAGCGCAGAGAGCAGCGTCATCACCAGCAGTAAAAGTTGTAAAAGTGGGGGAGGGGGTGCCTGCGGCGGTGACGCTGGCGTCATCAACCTTAGTCTTGGAAACAGTAACCATAGTAACAATAAGGYAGGCAGTGTCAATGGTAAACACAGCAGTGCTAAAGCCAACTCTGCAGACAAGAGCAATAATAAAGTTAGCAGCCACGCACCGTCTGAGAACACACATGTAAATGAGGCTAAAGCCAGCGTGGTGCAGAGTGACAGTAAGACCACAGAAAGCAAAGCTGCTAACAATAAAACAGGTGATAAAGGACAGAAGAGCAACCAATCAGACGGCGGCAGCAGCAGTAATAACTCCACTAGCACAGATGATCCCTCTGTTACTGACTGTCCAGCCATCAAACTGGAAGAGGCTTCATCTCCAGCCTTGAAGTCTTCCTCACCTTCTCCTGCAGCAGCCCCTGGCAGCACACCTGGCTCCAGAACCCCCGTCAGCACGATGCTGGACCCCAGCTTTTACAAAGGCAAGAAGTCCCAGGTGCAGCTCAGCACCCTGAAGGACAGCTTCCAGGTGAACCAGTGGCCCGACCAGGAGGAGGTGGACCGCCTCATCGCTCTGACGGGCCTCACGGTGCGCGAGGTCCGCAAGTGGTTCAGCGACCGGCGCTACCACTTCCGTAACCACAAAGGGCCTCGSTCCAGCACTGCGGGGCAGAGTAAACCCAGCGCCGCGTCGGGTSCAGGGAGCTCCACAGGTACGCCGGTGAGCGGCTCCGCCTCCGACGGTGCTGCTCCTACAGAACTGTCAGAAAGTAGCAGCAGCTCGTGTGCTAAAACGCCCCAGCCCAACTCCCGTAATGCTCCTCCAAGCCCACCGGCCAAACAGACTCCCACCTCTCCCAGCACGCCRTCACGCCGACCCCCAAAACTGCCCTCACCTGATTTCACAGCCATTCGCTACAAAGAGAGAGAACCTCATCAGGTGAGGCCGTAACTCTGTTCCACTTGTTKCTCAGCTCCAGAAAATATAAACTTAAAATAAAAAGAACAGTAGAGATTCAAATGTCAGCGATTCAAAATACTGTTTGTTTGTTAAAGTTGATGCTGCACTTGTGTTGCATCAGTTCAAAAGGTAAAATCATGTAATTGAAAATCCTCATGTTGAATCAGGATCTTAGCTGGTATTAATGTTTGTGCTTAAATTAGGGCTCGGTATCGATTCAAATTTCCCAAATCGATTCGATTCAGGATGATTCGTGATYCMGTTTGATTGATTTCTAAATTAGTTAAGGATATCATGCAGTAACACATTTACTTTGATATAGGAYATTCTCAAAGGAACTAATTCTGTAAATAGAAACTAATTCTAACTTGATGCATTGGTAAAATTATAAACATAAAGGGCAAACTTGTAAATTGGAGTTTAGCCTTGAAACAAAACTGTCTCAAGTTTCAAAGGGTTTAAGCTAAAAACGAATTGCAAGAAAAAGTGTTGTTGATACTACTACTAATAAGGTTTTTTTAAAGAAATTAAGAACAATTTTCTTGATCACTAAGAAGTGATGGAATAAGGTTGCAGGAAAAGATGTGGGTTAATATAAGTGTTTAATTCTGCCCACTCTTTTGAGTGTATGAAAACTGTATATTTGTAAAGTTTTTATTAGCTTCTGTTCAGTAAAACTTATTAACAAGAAGAAAAAAAGTACTTCAGCTAAAACCTTTCACCACTGTGAATTACATTGATGTTTCTAAAATTTAAAAATAACATTGGTAACAAAACTAAACGATTTTGTTAGACTGACATCTTTCACACATTTATAAAGGAGGAGAAGAGTTTCAGTCAAATATTTACACACCGTAGTTTTGGTCCGACCACCGGAACCAGCCGTTTGAAGCTTAGTTTCCCACTACCGCGTCCGAGCGCAAAACTTTGCAAACAAAAGTAGTCATGGCCTCTGTTATCTTTCAGTTCAGCTGAGAATCAGCTGTAATGTTAGTGATTCCTTTGTTTCTTTTGTTTTGATTCAGACAACTTGTTGTCGGGAGCTAACATTAGCACTGACCGTCACTGGATGTAAATCTACGGCAAGCCAGGAGTGACACACAACACGGAAACGTGCAGCTTCATCGCACACAACACCCGTGGGGAAAACATCGATCTCATGACTTATGAATCGATCTTCCCAAATTTGAACGAGAATCGATCCAGATTGATTAAATCGATTTTTTTAACCCAGCYCTAGTTTAAATGTCATTTTACTGTGGAAGATTTTTATGGTTAAAAGTCTRATGTGATGGACCTGCGACCTGTCCAGGGTGTACCCCGCCCCTCGCTCTGTGACTGCTRGATATGGGCACCACTAGCTACGTTTACATGGACATAAGCAATCGGMYWAAAGGCCATTCGGAATAAAAATGCGTCATGTAAACAGCCCGTTCGGATTATTCTGACCTGATTCAGCTCAATCCGAATGAATTTGTAATCGGAATGAGAGAGGTGGTTTATGCCGGTTAATCTGATCATTTCACTCTGATGGTGGAAAACTGAMCTGACTGCGCACATCTGCTGACTTWCATCCACCGGTTTCCAGCAGCTCAGAACTTTTCCTCCTRTTTTCTCATTCAGTAAAGAAGGAAGACACACAGCCTGCGCCGCTTCACAAAACAAAACAAAAAGTCAGCACGTCACCTGCAGCTGAACCAGAGAGTGCAGTAACGTCTCCACCATTATTAAACCTGTCGCGGGTCCATTCTCAGCTCAGAAACTGTTTATGTTCAGGAWRAAAGTAGAACTTTTTTCTGTGGGTTTTTTTAAGGGAAAGTTAACTGTGCATGTCAGTGCTTCTATTCTGAATAAAAGCCTGGTGCCTGTAAACRCTCRTCAGGATCGGATTGTGTCCATGTAAACGATRCATTCAGATTATTTAATCCGAATACATTTCAATCCCATCAAAGAATTGTGTGCATGTAAACATAGCTAGTGACCCTTGTGATTCTGAAAGAAAGAAGCAGGTGTAGATAATGGATGAAGTCTGATTAAAACAGACTTGTAGTGGAACAGATGTACTTTGTGTTTTCAGCCACCTCAGCTTTAAAAACAACACATTTGGACATGTTTGTAATCTGTTTAGTCCTGCTTATTTCCTACAAGTTATTAACCTTCATTGTGTTTTATGTTTAGGTTAAGGCCCTTGAGGCCAGCTTTGCCCAGAATGATGACCCATCTGGAGAGGAAGTGGACCGGCTGCGCTCTGAGACCAAGATGACCAGGAGGGAGATCCACGGCTGGTTTGCCGAGAAGAGAAAGAGACTGGCAGCTGAGAAAAAGAAGGACGAGATCAACCAAGCGCAGAGAGAGGATGAGGAGGAGATGGAGGTCAATGAAGAGGACAGACAGCGAGATGATGGTTCAGGAGAACCAAAAGTCAACCCCATCAAAATCAACCTGAAGATGCTGAAGGTGACGGAGGCCAGCGGCAAAGCGGAGGACGAGGGTTTGGATAATCTGACTGTAGCAACTCAGTCCAGCAGCACACCTGCTTCCTCCGCGGGCCCCACCTCCTCCAACACCCCTAAACCATCCCAACCCTCCACCCCAACACCAAAAACACCCCATTCTCCTAAACCCACAGTCGTACGAGGCAAAAAGACCGCAGAGCAGCTTCACCTGCTCAAACAGGTCTACGCTCGAACCCAGTGGCCCAGTGCCACTCAGTACGATGACCTGATCTCGGGCACTGGGCTGCCCAGACCTGAGGTGGTGCGTTGGTTTGGGGACTCCAGATACGTGCAGAAGAACGGGGTACTGAAGTGGCTGCAGGAGTACCAGAGCATGGCTCTGGAGRAAGACCTGCAGGAGGAGAACACAAAGATCCTGCAGGATCATCTCAACATGCATGGTCAGCTGGAAGAYTCCCAGGTACTAATAACTGTTTGTTTTTCTATGAAAGGCAAAGAACTGATTCTTATTAACATTTAATAAGACAACAGGTCCATGTGGGTCTGGAGAAACCATACAAGACTGTTTTGTAGATCTTTAAGTGGTTTCATATTCATTGTTTTTAAGAACCAGAAGATATTTTGGGGACTCATCTACTATATAAATTAGACGTCTCATAAAAAAAAATCCTAGTTTCTGTCAAATGTGATTACAGTAAATCAAGTTGCAGCTTTTTTTTTTTACTAGCTTGAGTGTCTGTTTTAACTGAAACTTGAACCTTTTTATWCAGATTGTATAAGTTCTTCCAATGTTAAAAATCTGAAATCACATCTTGTCCCTTTTATTAAAAATCTGTTTCAGTGGTTAATTTAAAAAAAACTTTATTTTTTTCTTATCTGAGCTCCACACGTTTGTCTTCTATAGCTCGCCCACAACGACTGGAGTGTTTTCAGACTTAGAGGTGTCAGAAAGGAAACTTGTTGGTCGCTGTGAAACTTTGAAAGTCTAAGTTTTCCACAGAAATTACCCATCAGATCTCAGCTCTTGGATTTTCAGGTTGTCGGTAAATCACCTCAAAATGCACAAAACCACGCTTGTGGGTGGAAGCATCCGCCGTTTGTCAATTTTACAGTGTTTCACATCTAAAAGATTGATTTTTTGCATCAAATCAGATCTGCAGTTTTCTTTGTCACTTTTGAAGCATGACTTTAATGTATTGAAGTGGGGAAAATGGCAGCAAGAAGTAAAGCAGTCAAAAMGTTTTCATTAAAAATATGAGCGTATGTTTGAGATGGATTTTCTTTTTTGTCTGCCCATAATAACCACAAAAAATATTTCTAATTTTAAACAAATAATGAAGATTAAAAGACTTCCATATTKCCCATGCCTTAATTCCTAAAGGAATCTGTATCCAAATCTAAAATAACTGAGACTTCTCTTATTTTTCAAATCTTTCCTCCTCAGKTGCAGGAGCTGGCCGAGAGGAGCGGTTTGACAGCAGACCTGGTGCGACACTGGTTCACCACCAGGGCCGCTCTGCCTGGATCAAAACAAGCTGCTGTTGCTCAGACGACAGGAGCAGAACCAGTTGGAACAGGCGTGGCAGCAGAGCCACCAACAACAGGATCCTCCCCTCTGGAGCCGAGGCCAGGAGGCGGGACAGAGGAKAAAGTGGAGCAGTCGGTGTGTGGCGTCACAGCAGAAGCAGGAGAGGCAAACACTGACGAGACGCCGGACGCTGCTGAAGGTAACCTTGTTAGGAGTGGCCATGGAACACGTGGTCACCCAAAGGAGCTTCAAATTAAATAAAAAAAAATAATAATTAGTTGATCATTTAAAGTTAATAAATTAAATGAGTTAAGAACCTTAATGTGTCAGATGTGTCCARCTTTAGAATATTGTTTGAGTGGTGCCTTCGTTGTTACAGGACCTGGAGAGGCCTTCGTATGATGATGGAGTTCACAACGCAGGTGGTCTTTGTCCTGGGAGTCTGACGACAAGACAGCAGATGGGTTCTGTAACGGGATCACTGGATGGAAATGGATCCGGACTCCATCCCCACCCAGACGTTTTCTCTCCCCCCTCTCATGTGAAAAGCCACCCTCTCCAGTTTTCTGCCATGTTTCCATTTTGGCGTGGAGGCCGATGGTGTGGTGCTGCGGCAGGTTGGGTTTGGACAGTCAGTGTTGGGAGACGGGTCATCGTTACACAGAAAACTGCACAGATCACTACAGGGTGCTTGCTCAGACCTTAAGAGGAACCTCTTTTCAGACGTTTTGAATTCAGGCCCGTTTCCCCTCGTTTGCTGCTCTACATTAACGAACAAGCCAGGCTGCTTCCAACTCACCTTCATTTAACAGAATTTCAATCTTTATAAACTTTAATTGTTCGGCTTGAGGAACACATCTGAAGTGAATTATTCCAAAACCACAGGCAAGCACCCTGTAGTCTCCAACACACCCGACAAAAGGACAACTCTCTAGACTTTACAGAATCATCGGTTTGTGCTGTAGCATCAAGTGCTTCTTTTACGTCACCGACKTGTTCCATTGTTTGTTTTTAATGGAACTTTTATTGTGTAAAACAAGACTGTAAAACAGTGAACTTCTACCAGAGCTCCATACTTTAGGCTTGGTGTTCCATTTTTACAGATGTATTTGCAGAATAAACAGAATGTAATGAGTTTGTGCTCGTCAGTCATTGGCCTGAGTGGTGCTGAAGTACAGTAAGAAAACTGTAAAACACTTAAATCAGAATGAAGGATGTAAGATCCTGAAAAAAATAGGACAAAGTTATATAAAGCAGTGAGTATTTTATTTTTTTCCAGGCTTGAATATGTTTTTATATGAAAGGCAAAATTAAAATTAATACTTCTCTTTGTAGTTTCAGAGTTTAGGCACATTACAGGAAGGCAAATGTAAATGAGGCCATCGCTAGCAAAAACAAAACAAAAATTACAATTAAGGGTCCTGTTCTCTCACATAAGTGTCCATGGTTAGTTRGATGGATCTGACCTTCATACAGCAGAGACGTGTCTTTAACGTGGTCTGTACATGCTCACAGAAGCCCCCAAAATGTCTGTGTGGGGTGCTTTTAGCTCAGCGGGGCAGGTGAGAGGTGTGGCTTTAATTTGAAGTGTGTGCAGACAGGAGGCACAAAGATCTGCAGAGAGTCCAGYGATAAGAGCGATGCACAGACACCACACACTGACCACTGAGGGAGGCGAAAAACAAAAGTTGACATGAAGAGAGAAAATGCTGAAGATCCTTTTTTTTTTTTACTTTGAATCATCCCATATGGCTTATTGGTGTCAGTCTTCAAACACCGAGCAAGATTACGGAGCTCGCAGTCGTCGTGCGAAAGCAGAGAGGGAAAAACAAAACATCTGTCACATTCATACAGTCTGAACTCAGTTTGACATAAAACCCCTTCCATCAGCCACAGAGACAAACTGAATGTCCTCAAAAAAAAAAAAAAAAATCACAGGACAAATCCATCAAAGAAAAAAATATATAAAATGTCTAACCTGATCGAAACAAGGAGTGCATTTTAATATCAACTCATGTTAAACACATTTGAGCTGCCAGAATAAAATTCATGCAGGTGTTTGTGAAGAAGCTTGATGATGTAACACAACCACCAAAACACTAAAAACCCTTCAATGGTGTTCGTTATGGGAGCAGTTTGTGAACCAATTAAAACTTAAACCACAACTTAAACTTGGTTTGAAGTGTTAGCTTAAAAAAAAAGAATTTCCAAACATGATTCGTCAAAACTTTGGGCTGCATAGTTAAAAGTAATTATTCCATTTTCCTAAATTTATTAAAAAGAAACTAAAGCTTTCATGTTTCCTGAAATGAACGTGTTTTTATACATTCATGCTTCAAACTAGGAGACTGGTTGTTAATGATCAGCACCAACTCAGCCCCGAGTCCTCCTTTAAGTCAYAAGACATCTCTGTGGCAAAGCTGGGTATTAATAGGAAAAAAGGATGTGAAGCAGTTAAAACACAATCACTACAAGCTTTATACAGTCCTTGAGCCTGCGTCGACACAAATGCATGACACAAAAGAAATGTCTGTTTCAGACTGGGTTGTAAATAAAAATTCAAAATGAAACCGTTTGTAGATTTAGTTTTGCTTGGAATGTAAGACAAGAAGAAGGAAAAGGTGCAGAAACATGACGCTGCTTGCTCTCTTGTCTCTTGGAACACAGTTTAGCTTTGTGACAAAAACTAAAATAAAATTTGTCCCATTTCAGGTAGGACAGATGGGAGGCGCACAAAATCCTCCACAAAGCAAAGACGTGTTTAAAAACAGCCATAGGGAGCCCTCATGTTTTACACTTACAGAGTCACGTGTTCTGAATGTTAAAAGGTTTAAATAATTACAATAATTAAAAACATGGAGACAGGAACTCTTTGAGAGCACGTTGCTGCTGCTGTTCTCTGGCCAACAGCACAGCAGGAATAAATATATATATACTGTATATATATGTGTTCAGACATGGCAAAAAGAAAAAAAAGAGCTAAGAAACTTGACTGGAAACAGTTTCAAACTGAGACCCCCTCCACAATAAGCAGCTGTTGTTCACAACAAAAACACGAGAGATCACAATCCGTCCCACGAAAACACACAGTCCGGTCCGGGGCCAGAACTTTTTACATCCTCACACTTTGCTTTTCTGTCAGTGTTGTCTCTTCCTCCTGTCTGCAGCCGTCAGCTTCCTCTCTGACCCCAGCCCCTGCAGTGTCCGAGGCCCTCCCTCATCGAGGAGGAGGGAGAGCTGCCTGAAATGTAGGCCAAAGCAGTGGTGGGCGTTTCCATGGAAACAGCGATCACAGCAGTCAGTGACATCATCAG